GATTTACTTATTTATTTGAGACAGTCTACTCTGTCACCAGGCTGGAGTGCAGTGGCGCGATCTTGGCTCACTGTAACTTCCGCCTCCTGGGTTCAAGCGATTCTCCTGCCTCGGCCTCCAAGTAGCTGGGACTACAGGCACGTGCCACCACGCCCAGCTAACTGTTTTGTATTTTTAGTAGAGTCAGGATTTCCACCATGTTGGGCCAGGATGGTCTCAATCTCTTGACTCGTGATCCTCGGCCGCCTCAGCCTCCCAAAGTGCTGCGATTACAGGCGTGAGCCACCGCACCCAGGCCCATATTTAGTTTAATGTGCTGGAAAAAAAAAATACTCTATATTTTTTGCTACAGAAAAACATACTGTTTTAAGATCCATGATATTTCATTGCTTAAGAGATGTTTAAAGTTGTTTAGGCGCATTTTAAAAATTTATAATTAGGTACTGGTGACCACTCAAAGGCTGGCAGAAAATTATAAACGATGGTATATGAACTGAAGTTTAGGAATGCTGCTTCAAATGACAGTGGCTGCCCTGAGTTCAGTCCATGTCTCAATGCAGGGGATTTGAGAAATTGCTCCAACAGCTCTCTGATTGCCTGAACCCTGTGCTATGAGATTGATAACTGTCATTTTAGCTAATTGAGCTGACAGTAGTGAAAGAAAACATCTGTCATTAAATTCAAAGCTTTGAGAAAAACTGAATAAATAAAAAATGGGTTATTGTAACAGGCCAGGTTTCACAGATGATCTAAATACTGAATGATTTTATCTCACAACACAGATCTGCAAAAGACTTAATTGAACTTTTTTTTTTTTTAGACATGGTCTCATTCTGTTGCCCAGGTTGGAGTACAGTGGTGCAATCATGGCTCACTGCAGCCTTGACCCTTGGGCTCACGGCAAGTCCTCCCACCTCAAGCCCTCCCAAGTAGACTGTGGGTCACACAGGTGCTGCGCCACACGCTAGCTAATTTTTTATGTATTTTTTTGTGTGTGTGTGTAGAGACAGGGTTTTGCCCATATTTCCCAGGCTGGTCTTATTTTAAACTCCTGGGCTTAAGCAAACCTCCCACCTTACCCTCCAAAGTGCGGGATTATAGAACATGAGCCCACTGTGCCCAGAAAGTGTATTTTTTAAGAATTTTGATACTTATATTTATGTCTTTTAAAATGAAATAAATTACCATTTGTTACTTTAATGTATCAGGGTCATGAGAAAAGCAAAACACTTGGATAGGCTTTGGTATCTCTTATACATAAGATGGCATTTCTTAAAAAAAAACCTGTGATATTTATATGTAAACAAAATTTTAAGAGGTGAAATATTTAGATATGTTTTAGGAAATCGACATACCTTATAAGGTTAGAACCTAAAAATGCATACCCATGATATGTAAATATGTGCATTCGCCTGTATTTAGCTGTGGAGGAAAATGTGACTGGACATATAGATTATTATTTTTTTTTAAATAAATAAATAACTGCCAAAACTATTTGAGTGTTCCTCTGTGCAATGGTATGCATGCAGTGCTATTCTTAGGGAAACTCTGACTTTGTTGATTGGAAATGTGGGGCCAGCGTGGAAAGCTGGTTGTGTTTCTCTTATTATAACTCCAGTTGTAATAATTAGAAAGTGACCTGCTGCCAGGTCAACGGTGGGAGCCTCTGTGAGTACGTGGCTAGGAAAGGTAGAAGGTGTGTGCGTTTGAAATACTTGTGCTTTCTCTTAGAAAATTCCTACAAAATGTCAACAATTCTATTTCTCATTATATCTCCTTTTAGAAGATTCCTATAAAATATCAACAATTCTATTTCTCTTATCTCCTTATTGAAATATTTATTTTAAGATTTTTACATTTATAATTTGTATAAAACCTTGCTGCTTTTTTCCTTTTGTCCCTTTCAGCACTCCCCACCACCATCACCAATTCTTTATTTGTTCTAGCTATGTAATGCCTGGGAAGGTAACAATAAAATAAACGCATGTGTTGTCAAGTTCTCGATTAAAAATTTTATGTAAAAATTAATAGACAGCTGTTCTTCCTTCTTTCCTTTCCCCCTCCCTTCTCTTTCCCTTTTTTCTTTTTCTTTTCCTTCCATTATTTCTAGCTTGTTCAAATCCTTCAAAAATAAGCAGAAATCATAAATATTAAATAGGATATATATCATTTGTAATAAGAAATAATTTCCATGGTTCTTATAAATAATGTCAGGGAAAGCTGCACTAGAACACACTTGTATACCACATGTGTCCTGGAGCTCTACCTCTCATCCTTAAGGTGTGTAAATATTACTTGCTTGGGGGGAAATATCCTACTATAAACAGCACATTCTTGGAGGGGGGGGTTGTTCTTTTTTTTGAGACACAGTCTCGCTTTGATTCTCCTGCCTCAGCCTCTTGAGTAGCTGGGATTACAGGCGTCCACCGCCACTCCCAGCTGATTTTTGTATTTTTAGTGGAGATGGGCTTTCACCATGTTGGTCAGGCTGGTCTCAAACTCCTGACCTCAATTGATCCCCCTGCCTCAGCCTCCCAAAGTGCTGGGATTACAGGCGTGAGCCACCACGCCGGGCCACATTCTTGTGTTTACAGTAACCTCGTTTACAGTGCTTTCCCCTCTAAAAGAGCATCAGTCAGTCTTTTTCACTTTAGTACTTAACATGCCCTTTGCCCCATTTACGGCAGCCTCATAGACTGTCCGCATGCAAAGAGCAGTTGAGTGTGCTGGTCTATACATTGCATCATGCAGTAACTGCTCTTTTTCACTTCTAAATACACTGATTTTATAGTTACTAAATTTAGCCCATTTTTAACTCTTCATTTGAAATACTGAAGAAAAGTAGTTCCATTTGCCTTCAAGGATTCCAGGCTATGGTACCAAAAAGCAGGCCATCAGAGTCAGTACTGACAAAGACTCACAGATCAGCTGTGGCATGACACCATGGTGCCACTCTGGCTGAATCCATCTGAGCCTTAGTTTATTTATTCACCAATAGAGATCAAAATCAGTAGGAATAATTGCTAACATTTATTGTTCACTGCCTGTACTAGGCACAGAATTTTATATGCAATTATTAACCTGTTTAATGCTCACAATAAGCCCGCCTCTGTTAGTATCCTCATTTTACAGACGAAAGGAGAGCAGATAGCAGTAGAGACCCAAACCATCCCCATCACACCACACTGTATGTAGACTGCTTCATTGTCTGTCATTTGTCGTATTGCCTTCTCATCCAAATTTGAGCTCTTAGTAATATAAATCAGACACATCAGAGGAAATGTACCCCAGACTTTTTGTGTTCACATTAAATATGTTTATATGAATATAGATTATTAGCCATTTTGATTCTTAAACCAAAACATTTTCAGATCTTACAGCCATGTGTCTGGTAAGGCTTTGTATGTGTCCTTTCTTCATCCATATATCACTGGATCCTTAGAGGCTGTGAAGTAAACTAGCTTCTCTTAGCCCGTTTCTTCATCTGGAAAATAAACAGGTTGGAGTCAGTTATCAGTTTTAACTCTAAATTCTCATCTACACGTATGAATATGTAATTATTCATTTTAAAGTTTCCTTTAATTGAATTTGACAGTCAATATCCAACCAGAAAAAGTTTTCTATACATAGGCAAGGTGTTACTGAGTCAAGCCTCTGTGTTTTTGTGTGAAATGCTGTGTTACCTGGTATGCTTTCAACACAGATAACCTGTCTTGGCTCAAGAAAAGGTAAGCTTTTGCTTTTTTACCAGATGTAACTACCCCTGAATCTACAAAGAATCTTATGGAGTCATCTATGGTGAATGGAGGTTTGACATCACAAACAAAAGAAAACGGGTTAAGTACTGCACAGCAGGTGCCTGCACAGCGGAAGAAGCTCCTCAAAGCCCCAACTCTGGCCGAACTGGACAGCTCTGAGTCTGAGGTAAGGCCCCAGTTCACACAGCTTGACTCCAAGATGAGGGTGCTTAATGCTCTCTGACCCAGTTTACTGATTATCTGGCTTCAGTTGTTGCTTAATCTCTTCCCATTTTTCAACCAATAAAGCTAGGATTAAAATTAATTTGATTTGCAGGAAATTAAATAGTAGATTACTTTCTGTTATTAGTAAAGACCAATATAGTGGCTGCAATTTATAGAACACTAAAATTTTTGTCGGGCATGTTGGCTCACATCTATAATCCCAGCACTTTGGTAGGCGAAGGCAGGAGTATCACTGAGCCCAGGAGTTTGAGACCAGCCTGGGCAACATAGCAAGACCCTGTCTCTCTAAAAAATTTTAAAATTAGCCATGTGCAGTAGCGCATACCTCTGGTCCCAGCTAGTTGGGAGGCTAAGGCAGGAGGATTCTCTGAGCCCAGGAGTTCGAGTCTGAGGTGAGCTGTGATTGCGCCACTGCATTCCAACCTGGGCAACAGAGTGAGACTCTGTCTCAGCTCTCAAAAAACAAAAAAAGAGAAAGAAAAAAATATATATATATACACATCACACACACACATATATACAGTCTTAAATTATAAGTGGGGTTAAAACAAGTCCAACAGTTTTGCAACTTACATTACCTTAAAATATCTTCCCGTTTGTTTGCGCGGCAACAACAAAAAAATAAAGCTTTAAACGAAA